TCTTGGAGGAAAAGGGATACTTGGAATAATTATAATGTAAGAATAACAATAAAAATTATTTAATAAAAGAAAAGAAAGTGTAGAGTTGAATTGGCTAACTATAGGATCAAGTTTGGAGAGGGAGAGAAGTGAAGTCAGAGTAGGGATAATAGCCTGAGAAAGTACTGAGGAGTGGAAGGATTAGAAGTCTAAATGAGCGTGTAGAATGGATGTAGAATAGGAAGAGATAGAGGAATGTCATAATTTTTCATTACAGAAGTGAGAGTCTTGTGAGTAATGGCGAAATCCCTAGAGATACTAGTTTCTAGACCGTAGGAGAAGTCCTAAACTTGACCTAATATAGTAGATATATAAATTTATTTATATTTCTGCCATCCTCATTAAAACTGCTGCTCAGTGAAATGGATTTATGTCCATTGTTCGGTCTGTCCTTGATGTCCCTACTTATCAGTTGTCTTTAGTACTGCAGTAAATTGTGTCTAAATAGAGCATCAATAGTCTAAGAAGCTTAATCAAAGATCTCTTTTTTCCTATTGCTTTCAAATATGGCCAGGTATCCCCCATCCTTTTTTAATTTTTAATTTTCTATGTATCCTAATTAGATTTATCAAACTTTTTATAATCAGAAGTCTCAGGAGAGCTGAAAATGGGGGTTCTGTGGTTGCTTAGGTCTGTGTCTCCATTTGGATCTTTGCCATCTTTCTGGGCATTGCAGAGAGGCCTGTGATCTCAGATCTGCTCAAGGGGAGTTACAGCTCCCCAGAAGCCTCATGGATATTGTAACACCCCTAAACCTAGATGGTTATCATCTTTTCCTTTTTAGATACATAGCAGTGGTTTTAAAAAGCTTTTATTGATGTTTTCTGTTTCTTATATCCCCATAATTGTCCCAAGTATTCCTCCCATTTCCCCTCCCAGAGTGCTATCCCATATGACAAATAGTACTGTTTTAGAGAGGAAAAAAAGTCAGCATAACTAATTAATACATTGAAAAAGTCTGAAAACATGTACCATCTATGGACCTCCCACCTCCAAGAAAAGGGTCTTTTCATCTCTTGATTTGAGTCCTGCTTCATTGACTACCAGGAAGCAAAGCATAGTTATCGTTTACTGATTTTGTATTCTTGTCCATACCTAAGACAACTACTTAAAAATTTTCAGGACGTTTTGAAAAATAGGCCTGTTGATTAACAAGAAGCCTCCTTGTGGGAATTCTTACCAGCTCAGATGAACTCCTGTTGGAAATTTTGTAGTAGTAGTAATTAGAATATTATTTTAAAGTTGGTCTCTTGGTTTTGCCTTTACCTAAAAAGCAGCAAGGTTTTTACTGCATAGAAGACACAACCCTGACCATTGGCATAACCTCTCACTTGAAAACCATCCTAAAGAATGCTAACCATGAAAAAAAAAATCACCTCATACACAACTAAATGATGATTATGAGAAGTACCTACTTGACCATAGACCATAGACCAAGTGTTGTGTCTTTAGTAGGGGTTGCTTGTTACACAAAGTGGATTCTTCACATGGTTTTCTAGGTTTGTCTGTTTTTATAATTAACTTTCTTGTTTACACGTGAAACTATTTCTAGAGTGGCTTCAATCTGTGTACTTAACCTTCATTCAGTCCAATTAATCTGTGAGTAGCTAATCTGGATTGCTATGTGTTTTTCTCTCCAGGTTTGTTTTTTCATTGACTTCTTTCTTTTGAATCCACTAAAATTTGGACACCTTCCTCCTCTCAGTGTTTTAGTTATCCTTTCATGGTGGTATAGGACATTCTGTCAACTCTAAAAATGTAATTGTCACTTTCATCCTCAAAATCTTGAAATAATACCTATTTACATGAGGCCCCAGAAATCTAGCTCAATGTAGTTGTGTGGGACCTTCCATTCCAAGTAACTCAAAGCACTTTACACAATCCTTTTATTTATTTTTCATCATTTGCCTGTAAGGATATAGGTGCTGAGTCTTCCATTGTCTCCCTGTTTTCCAGATTAGACAAATTATTTATGCCTTTAATTTTCCCAAGACCTCTGGTATTGGAACTTGGATTCCCTTATTCCTACATTCTGCTCTGATTACAAAACAAGTTATTTTGGATAGAAGATATAGACCTTAAGGATTATGGAAAGATAGATATGTATAGTAAGAAGTTAACTTAGATGTTCAACAGGTATAGTACAGTATATATCATATATAAGTAGCCTGATGTCTTAAGCAGTGGGTGTGGGAAATGTGGACATGGGGGAAAAGGCTAGGCCAGTATTAGAAAATACTGCAGGAAGTTAGTTAACTGCTGAGTCTTTATGGCAATCACTTAACTTTGTACTTGTCTAAACCAGAACATCCATAAGAATAATTAATAAAATACTGCAGGAAGGTAACTATTGAGCAAACTTGCTAGTGCCTGTGTCAAGCTGTTCTCTGAACTTTAATTTCTTTATCTTGTTAATGGAAATAATAATATCACTTCCTCATTGTATTGCTCTGAGGAAGACATTTTGTAAACCTTTAATACACTATGTAAAAATCAAACAATCAATAAACATTGCTTAAACACTTACTATGTACTAAGCACTGTACTAAGCACTGGGGATACAAAAAGAGGCAAAAGATAGCCTCTGCTTTCAAGGAGCTTACAGTTTAATGGGGGGGACAATATGCAAACAAATATATACAAAATAAGCTATATACAGGAGAGATAGGAAGTAATTAACAAAGGGAATTAATTAATTAATTAATTTTAATTTAATTAGGGGTTGGGAAAGGCTTCCAGTAGAAGATGGGTCAAAGAAGCTAGGGAAGTTAGTAGGTGGAATTGAGGAGGGAGAACATTTCAGGCACAGGAGAGTCCCCAGAAAGAATGCCCAGAGCAGAGAGAGATGGACTGGCTTGTTTGCAGAAGAGTCACTGATCTGAAGAGTGCATGCTGGGGAGTGAGGTAGAAGAAGACTGGACAGGGAGGAGGGGACTAGCTTAGGAAAGCGAAATTATCGGACCTGTAGTTTAGGAAAATCACTTTGGTGGCTGAATAGAGAATGGATTGGAGTAGGGAGAGACTTGAGGCAGGAAGACCCACCAGCAAGCTATTGCAGTAGTCCAGGTGTGAGGTGATGAGGGCCTCCACTAGAATGGTGGCAGCATCAGGGGAGAAAAGGAAGCATACTCAAAGAAATGTTGCAAAGGTGAAATCCACAGTCATTGGAAACAAATTAGATATGAGGGGTGAGAGATAGTGAGGAGTCCAGGATGACTCCTGGGTTTTGATCCTTAGGGACTGGGAGGATGAGATTGTTCTCTCTGGTAATAGAGAAAGTGTCTGCTGCAGTGGGGTATGGGGGTAAGGGGAGGTAAAGAGGTTGGGGGAGGCAGATAATGAATTCAATTTTTAGGTATGTTGAGTTTAAGATGTCTACCAAGAATCCAGTTTGAGATGTCTTAAAGGCAATTGGAAATGTGAGATTGGAGGTCAGCAGAGAGTTTGGGGCAAGATAGGTAGATTTGAAAATCATCAGTATAGAGATGGTAATTAAACCCATGGGAGCAGACAAGTTACTGAGTATGAATTTTAGTTGTAAGGTGTCACCCTGCTCTAGCACACTGCGCTAATGGCTTTTCCAAGCAGCATGAATTTTTGACCCCTAAATCAGACATAGATGATAATGCTGTGGTTCAGTATCCTATCCCCAACTGCAAAACCTGTAGATAAAAAAATGAGTATCAAATATTGAACTATATATATATATATTTATATATAATCATTGCCTGGTATGAGTGGGTTGGTGGAAAACATCCTTCATTGCGTGTCTTGCTCTATTTTATAACACAGAAATATCCAACATTTTTTCATTTATCTTATTTGTCATATTTTTTCACCTGTGCCTCTTAAAATAAATGCTTTCTTGCTTACCCTAAATTTTCGCAAAATTTTTTCTCATTTATTTGTTCCATTTTTTAAACCTGTGTCTCTTAAAATAGTTGCTTCCTTGTTTGCCCTATATTTTTCTTCCATGGATGTCAAGCCATGCAGTGGACATTATCACCTTACTCATCACCAGATTTCTTGAAAGTGAGATCTACATTTCATTCATTCAACAAGAATTTATTATGATCCTGTAAAGAAAAAACCCAGAACAATCCTTTACCCTCAAGGAACTTACTGACACAAAGAAAAATAAATAAAAAGTATATGCAAAGTAATATCCAGGGGAGAAGGCAAAAGGAGATTCAGGTTAGTGACACTTGGGTAGAATCACAGATAAAAAATGGAATGAATAAAAATAACGAGGAAAAAATTTGGAAAGAGCAAGAGCTTGATGGAATGTGTTCCAGGAGTGTATATTCATTCCACTGCAGAGGGTGGGGGAAGGTATGCTGTGAGTGGGGTGGGGAGGGAGAGGAGAGGAGGGGAGAAGAGAGGAGAGGAGATGAGAGAAGAGAGGAGAAGGGAGGAGACAGCCTCTGCAAAGGTAGAGAAGCGGGACATGGAATGCCCTTTACTGGAAAGTGCAGGTAGGGCCAATTTGGGCTGGAATGTCAAGTTCATAAAAGAGAATAGGGTGCAATAAGCCTAGGAAGGGAGACTAGAAAGAGGCTCTGAAAGGCTTTAAACACAAAACAAAGGAAGATAACATATCCTTTAGGCAAGAGGGAGCTACTGCAGCTTCTTAAGGAGAAGAGTGAAAGTTCAAAGCTTTAGGTATCCTCTGCCTTACTCTGATTCACACTGGGAGGGGATATACTGTCTTGTTTTGCATGTACTCACACTGGTTTTTCTGACCAAAGTCCTTTCCCATTGTTCATAGGTTTCTGGCTGTCTTTTTGTGTAATCCTGGGGTAGGTGAAGGCGCTTAATCTAGTTTCTCATTTAATTGCTTGGTCATTATTGGTCTGATGCAATTGTTAGGTCTTTGCTGGAATACTTGTGTATAAATTAAGCTCTTCTGTGACTCTTCACTCAGTCATCCTAATCAGAAATCTCTTCTTTCTTCTTGACAGGGTTAAAAAAGAACAGCTAGCTGCCATCTTCAAACTCATGAAGGACAACACTGAGACTTTTGGAGAGATGTCTGATGGAGATATGCAGGAACAGCTCAAGCTTTATGATATGTAGGCTCAAAAACAACAGAGCTCTTCAACAGCTGCTGCCTTACTCTGCAACAAGACTTTGAAAACAATTGTACTGTGACTGTTATTAGATTAGAAACTCTTGTTTTCAGATTTTTATAGGTTTAAATACATACATATGCATATATATGTATATATATGTATGTTCTTTTTGCATATGCTATTTATATTTTATCTCATAGGGATCAGCAATACTCCGCATAGAGGAAGAGGGGTGGGCAGACCCTGTTAGCTGAGTTTCCCTCCTTATTCCTTGTTGTTGAGGTTCGGACTATGTGACATAATTAGTACATATACCTTATCTTTTCACTTGAGCTAAGAAATTCCTCATGTTAGTTCCAAGACAGACAGTAATATGGGACCAGACTAGATGATGCTGACTCAGGGCTGACTCAGTCCTAACTCCTGACACAGTAGTAAGCTGTTTGGGAGGATTTAGGAGTGCTAAAAGTTATAGTATCTTTACTATTGGCATCCTTATAAGGCTTTTATAGAGTTAGGGTCTAAGAATTTTTTTGAGGATCTGAAGTCTGTTTCTTCCTAGACAGTCTAAAAGTCTATTTCAAAGACTCATCTTCCTTTGTGGATCAAAATAAAGGTACTAGAAATGATGTTATAAGAATCTGTTCTATGTTATTTCTAGTCCTTGTTCAATTCAAGTGTATGAAGAGTGCTAGGCACTGCAGGATATACAAAAGAAGCAAAAGATGTGGCATTTGACTTGGAGGAACTGCCAATTTCTAGGGAAAGAAATAACCCCAACATAAAACAATAGAGATAACAAAATATTTAACTGACATCTAGACAGGAACTCCTCTGATGGCTTATTGTGGTATGGAAATGACCCTTAGTTCTTGAAGGTTCTTCAAGTGTGTGAGCTGGAGGAGGAACTCATTTTTATGCTCTGGGCACCAGTCCAGCTTTGTTTGGAGAGATTCATCACCTCACATGGCTTCAGATTAATGAATCATTAGCCATAGCAACTCTTAAAGACTTATCTGCCAAGGGGTAATAATAGCTAGCATTTTTGCAGTATCTTAAGGTTTGCAAAGCACTTTACATATTGACAGGAATATCCACATTGTTGAAATCATAAACCCGTTGAAGTGTGAGTGCATCCAATTTTCTACTTAGTTGCAGCGACTGCCAGTTACAATTCTGGCTCAGAAGCTGAAAGATGCCTTTATGCAGAATGGGATCCCTCAGGTCTGATTGCTAAACTGTGTCAGTCAAGTTGCTGCAATCATTTCCCAGCAACCAGTGGTTCCATCATGTTTGTACTCATGCTCCAGCATGTTTTATTACATTTTTGTTTGCCTACTTCATGTGCAGCTTTTCCAAGTCACCTCATCCACAACATGAAGCTACTGTTTAGTTAATTATGAGTCTCGTGCACTAAACTAATAAACGACTTTGAGTTCATTTTTCTGATAATAGATCAATTTACTTCTGCCTCACTGGTGGAAAAAGCAGGCCCATTTGTGGCCAAAACAGCCGTCTCAGAACTAACTCTCAAACAGGTGTATGGTTTCAAATAAAGTATGTGGCATGTCCCATGTTAATTTTTTTCTTTTCTTTTTTCTTAAAAACTACGATTTGTTATGTAGGATAACTCTCTGAGAGGAAGACAGGGAAGTAGATGAATGCTGGGAGAAATTCTGGTGATATTAAAAAAAAGATATAAATAAAAATTTGTAAAAAGGAAAGTTTTGCTTAATTAAATGTCAACAAAAGAGATAATAGAATGTATGAAAACACTAAATGGAGTGTGAATATTTAAATTTTGGGGGTTATTTTAAATTTAGTGTATGTTAACAGGAACATTACTGAATACAAAAAACATCTAAAACAAAAAGAGGATTGCATTTGAAATCCCTTATCTCCTTTACATACATGGTATTTCTCTTAAAAATTGTATCAGAAATCTCACGTGTTACTTTTTTTTTTTAGGCAATTGGGGTTAAGTGATTTGCCCAGGCTCACACACCTAGTGTCAAGTGTTTGATCTGAGGTCAGATTTGAACTCAGGTCCTCCTGGCTTCAGGGCTGGTGCTCTATCCAACGCGCCACCTAGCTGCACCTCCATGTACCACTTTTCAAAGCTGTTTAGTTTGTCTGTGTTTCCTTTTTTTATTTAAAAAAATATGTTTCAAAGGCTCATTTTTCTTTCTTTTCTTTGTCATTTTTTTTGGCATCCCTATCATCACTTCTTCCTCTTACACTACTCCACCAATTTTTAAAAATTATAACAAACATATATAACAGGTCCTTTGACATCTACACAGAAAAATATCCCCGTGCAGCAGGCTGTAAATGCAGAAGGGTAATGAGATCCGTAATTGGCTTAAAAGAATGTGAAGTTGGATGCTGATGTTGCATACTTGTATAAAAGGCTTATTTCAGTTGGTTGGGGTCAAAAGTAGAGAACGGAGCTCCAGAGAGGAATCAAGAGAGAAATGCTTGTGAATGATGGACTGGAGCTCTAGGAGTTGTGGGTGTGTATGGGATCTGGGCCTGTTACGTTCTTTAGCTTCCAGGGCTTGTATCTCTGAAGACTATTGGGAACATACCTCCCATAAACGGACTTGTTTTCCCATTCCTGGTCTGAGCTAAGATATTATCTCACTCCAAGATGAAGCAAGATCAATTCCCCTTGTATAATCCCTTTCCCCCTTCCAAAGAACCATCCCCTAAGGCTAGGCAAACTATGTACTACCTGGCCTTTTTTTGTTTTTGTATAACCTATAAGCTTAGAATGGTTTTTACATTTTAAAATAACAGTGTGTCTAGATATAGGTGGTGACAGATTTAATCCATGGGCCATGGTTTGCCAACCCCTACCATATAATGAATAATTTTTTTAAAAACAGAAAGATGAAAAAAAATTCAACAAAATAATCAGTGCATTGAAAAAAATCTGACATTTTATGTAGTATTCCACGCTCGTGGACTACTCACCTCTGTGAAAGAGTGGGAGAGAAATGTCATCTCATATCACTTCTTTGGGAACAATCTTGTTCTTTATAATTTCACATTTATATTTGTGGCAGTTGTTCTTTACATTCCTATTGTTGTAGTCAGTGTATATTGGTTTTTTTCTGGCTGTTTACTTCATTTTGCATCGGTTCACCTAAGCATTTCCAAGATTCTCTGTATTCATTATAGTAATAATTTCTTATAATAATATTCAGTTGCATTCATGTAGTCCAGTTTGTTTATCCTAGTTAATGGCCATCAACTTCTTCCTCCCCTCTCCCCGCCAAAGCCTTGGCTACCACAAAAAGTGCAGTACAAAAGTAGGTTTTTTCTTGTCAGTTATCGCCTTGAGGTATGTGCCCAGCAGTGGAATCTCTGGGTCAAAGGGTATGGTCATTTTAGCCACTTTATTCACATAATTCCAAAATATTTTCCCTAATAGTTGTACTTACAGCTCCATCAACAATGCTATTGTGCTGTAAGAAATGATGAGCAGGCAAACTTCAGAAAAACCTGGAAAGATTTGTATGGACTGATGCTGAGTGAAGTGAACAGAACCAGGAGAACTGTACACAGTGACGGCCATGTTGTGCAATGACTGACTTACAGGGTTAAGTCCCAGCCTTTCTACAACCCCTCTGACATTGATTATTCCCGTCTTTTGCCATCTTTTCCAATTTTCTGGGTGTGAGGTAAAACTTCAGGGTTATTTTGATTTGCATTTCTCTTGTTATTAACGATTTAGGGCATTTTTCATGTGGTTCTTTATAATACGAAATTCTTCTTTTGAGAATCATTCACTCATATCATTTGACCATGTATCTATTATTAGCATTCTTTGGCATATTCTAATCAGTGGAGCTCTGATTTTTCTTTGCTATTTTGCTTTAATGGATGGGTTTACTCAATATTCACTATTTGAGATGATCTTTTGTGTAACTAGCATCGATCGGAAGGGGTAAGTTGGATCATGTAATCTAAGGGCTATCTTCCACATTTAGAGTAATCAGGGACATGGCTTTTGTTCTGAACCTGCTATAACCCTAAACTAGAGATAGTTGATGGGTGGAATATAGGTATTACTCTAGCTCTATACCTCTCTTAGAGATTGTAGGGAAGGTTGCCCTATTTTGGTGGTCCTGAACTCTGTCTGCCTCCCCTCCCAGGTAGGACTTCTAGTGCAGGCATAGTTGTCCAACTGTGATAAATAGTTCAGACCTCAGATCATATCTATGCCATTCATAAACATGTTTTTGAAAACCACAATCTATTTTAAAAACCACACACATATAAATCTTTTTTTAATTTTCACGTTAGTCATGTTGTAAAGAAGAATTAGAACCAATAGGAGGAGCCATAAGAAAGAGGAAACAAAACAAAACAGAAGAGAAAAAAAAGAGCAAATAGTATGCTTCGATCTACATGCTAACTCCATAGTTCTTTCTCTGGATGTGGATAACACTTTCCATCATGAGACTCTTGGAGATGTCTTAGATCCTTGCATTGCTGAAAAGGGTTAAGTCTATCAAAGCTAGTCATCGCACAACATGGCTGTTACTGTGTACAATGTTCTCCTCGTTCAGCTCACTTCACTCAACATCAATCCATACAAGTCTTTCCAGGTTTTTCTGAAGTCCGCCTGCTCATCATTTCTTATAGCGCAATAGTATTCCATTACATTCATATACCACAACTTGTTCAGCCATTCCCCAGTTGATGGGCATCCTCTCAATTTCTAATTCTTTGCCACCACAGAAAGAGCCACTATAAATATTTTTGTCCATGTGGGTCCTTTCCCCACTTTTGTGATCTCTTTGGGATACAGCCCTAGAAGACACACATATAAATCTTAAGCACAGTTGATAAAACCACACTACCCCTGCTCCATTGACTATATCTTAAAATTTATATTTTTACTTAAACTTGCACCTTGAGTTCTCCATATAAATAACTGGCTTTTATCGATCGCTAATATAGCCTGGGGTTGTCTGGGCATGCCCAGTTTGCATAACGTGGAGTCTTCCTGAGGGGCCTTTGGAACATGTCTGGATTGCCCAGCGTGGAGGCTTCTGAGTCCACTACCACATGGTTCAGTGTAGCCTCCTTTAAATTGGTGTTGTCCTCTCTTTTTCCACTGCTCTCTCTGCTGCTTTTCTTTTCAGCCACTCTTATCTGCTGTATCCAGATGGTGAAGATCACATGGCACCCACAGCATGGGTGCCATGAACTATACCAGTGAGCCTGGAAAGTCTTCCTTCCCCTGCTCTCCTCTTGGCTCTGGGAAATGGACCTGGAGGTGTTTTGTTTCTATTCAATATTGCTTGACCTCCTCAGTTTCAGGTGCCAGAGAGCCCAAGGAGAGTTTTGCCCTTGGAACTGGGACTCTACCCTATAGGAAATGAGCTAAGGTATGAACCTAATCTCTTTTCCCTTCCCAGAGACTGAGGTGGTACAAATGAGTGTGTGTGTGTGTGTGTGTGTGTGTGTGTGTGTGTGTATGCTCATGCGTGTGCAGAGATTATGCCTCCCATGTGTTTGGGGGAGTAAATTTGTATATTTGTGATTGTATCTTCTGAGTAAATATTTCTGTGCAAAAACAAATCCAATTGTTAGCAGCTGATGGAACCAGGGTACAGGAGACCTTCCCTATGTTTGGGGGAACACAATCGGTAGGAACTGGAGCTAATGGCATAGAATTCTGGGAAAGTGGTGAAATTATCTGCCTGGCCTTCAGACAGTAGGGGCCAGGGTGATCTGTGTTCTACTAACAAACGCCAACAAGGAAAAGATAAAGAATTGAAATTCCATTCAAAATAACATACCACTCTCAATTGGCAAGATCAGTGCTGAAATCTCATGATGATAATTTTGGGAAATGTTACTCCATCCTTATGCTTTGCCTACAAGAATATGGATTAAATATTGGACAATTTTGGGACTGTGGTAGGATATGAAGGTCTAACAAAGTTTGGAACTAGATAGAGAAAAAAGGACTGGGATGGCTCTTGCTTTTTCTCAGTAGCAGCAGCAGCGGTGGCTGAGATGGCAAAAAAGTGGAAGGAAATCATCTGTTGTTGACGGTAGTGGTGGTGGCCATGGCAGTGGTTGCAGTAGCAATGTGGTTCTTTCAGGCACAGGAGGAAGAGAAAAAGGGAAGGCAAGGAGGTTCATTGGAGAGGTATAGAAACTGCTTAATCATGGTAGCTCATCCATGTGGCTGAATCTCCTTTCAGGTTACAAATACTTTACAGAGGAACTGACCATTCTCCACACAGCTACTTCCTCCCTTCGACTTGTTTATTCTTAAACAGACCCACTGTGGTTAGCTATTTTCTTTTTATTGACTTGTATTTCCTCTTTATAAAAGTTAGTGAGTCAAGATATGCATTTGTGTGGATGCTTTCTGCTGTATTCTAAGAGTAAAGGGGGTGCATTTGATTGAGTAATTCAGAGGGAGTATTAAGGGAGTATTAGCTAGAAGAGTCCATTTCTAGTCTGGAGGTTATCAAGCTACAGTTTAGGTTTATGAATCATTCTATAACTCTCCTAACAAGCAGAATCTTAAAACCTGAATTCAGATATTTGTTTTGATTTCCTTTAGAGGACTGATTTTGTTGTAACCAGGAGAGCACGACCACAAGCCTGGGGCTACCACTAAGCCTCTCCTGCTCTGACCTTGAAGGACTGAGGAAAAAAGAAGGGGAGTATGAGATGAAGATCTTGCCTCTTA